CACTGTTGCATCAACATGTCCCCTTATGAAGTTCAAAGGTCATGTCAGGAAGAAATTTTTCACACAAAGGGGAGTGGACTTCTGAAGTTCTCTTTTCCAAATAGTTGTCAAGACTAGGTCAATTGAAAATATCAAAACGTGGATTGATAGGCTTTATCCACCAAGCGTATTCAGAATTAAAAAGCCAAGGTAGGTACAAGGAGGTCAGGAAGAAGTCAGTCCTGGTCTAAATGCATGGTATGAAAGAGTCATAGGCTGAATAGCTTGCTTTTTGTTCCTACATCGTATGCCCCAGTTCTAGGTATTTCTGCCCTTGCTAGCCATGAAGCCACCTTATTTCAATACTTTAAAAATAAGTATTGCCAAATCCGGCCCAAACAACCAAGTCAAATCTGGCATCAAGCCAATTCCATCACAGAATGTTTGTATGAGCAACATTGCAAACAATGAGATGCCTCGTGTGAAGATAACTTTAAAAAATAGACTCACTTGCTACAGTGACTAGCGTTGTCTGGTATACAAATCTCATGGAATTAAAGCTAAATCTTCTTAATTTAAACTGGCACAAAACATTTTGAATGAAATGGTAAAACACAATCAAGGGGTTAGTTATATCATCAGTATGCAAGATCTTATTATGATCCACAGACATATGAGAAGAATCTTCTTCAGATTTATAATTGTTGAGTTTTTGCCCTCCCAAACATCAACAGTCAAGTGGAAGTTTTTTAATCTCATAATCAAGACATGACCACCTCTTCAGAGCTGGGATCAATTTCTTTCACTTCTACATATTTTCCTTTCCTCTTGTTCCTCTGTTGATCAATCAAGTTTGAACTCGGGTTTTCTGCCAGAAGCTATTATGTCCAATCTGGTTCTCTTGCTCAGGGAATATACTACTTAAAATGATTCTTTTCAAGAAATTGTCTAAATTACTTTATAAAAAACCTTGTAGGTTTGATTAGCAACAGTTTATATCAAGACAAATATGAACGAGATAAATAATTTTTCAACCTGCTATTTCCTTTTTTTGGTGACAATCTTAATTTGTGTCTCTTGCATTGAGTTTTTACAGCATGGAACAAAGTGCTTCAGCCCATCATGTCCTCACTAGTCATCAAACATCTGTCTATTTGTGCGCTATGGCATTTCAAATGGCGTTTCAACAACACCGAGGGTTCTCACCTGTACCACCTTTTTACACAGTCAGCTCCAGATACCCACCACCCGCTACGAAAAACATCTTTCCTCAAAACCCCTCTAAGCCTCCTGCTCCTTAGTTATTGACCCCTCTACTAAGGGAAAGAGTGTTGTCCTATCTAATCTACTCAGTTTTGTATATCTCAATCAGGTACCCCCTCAGCCTTCTCTGCTCTATGAAAAACAACCTCAGCCTATCCTGTCTCTCTTCATAGTTGAACCATCTCAGCTAGGCAACATCCTGGTGAATCTCCTCTGCACCCTTTCCAGTGCAGTCACTCTCTTCCTATAGTGTGGTGACCAGAAATGCACACAATACTCCAGTTGTGGCTTAACCAACAGTACATAAAGCTCCATCGTAAGCTCTTTGCTCTCGTATTCAATGCCTTGACCAAGAAAGACAAGTATCCATAGGCCTTCTTAACCACCTTATCAATCCTGCTGTCTTCAAGGTTCTATGAACATGTACACCGAGGTCCCTCTAATCTTTTGTACTTCCTAGAGTCCTACCATGCAACATGCATTCTCTTGCTGACCAATGAAAAGACTAGACCAATGAGTATTATTATCATAAGGCTGGACACCGCTTTCACGCCGTCTCTCAATCTATTCGATTCCAGTGAGAACAATCCTGATTTCTTAATTCCCTGTTCCTAAATGTAATTTTAATTATTCAGTGACAAGTAGACCAATAGCCTTGATCATTAGCCATCACATTGATAGGTTTGCATCAAATTGTTAAGAGGGTGCCAAGTCGTCTCTAGGAGTTTCTTTAATTATTGTCTAGTCACACAATTACCACAACAATTTGCGTTTACGTAGCACCTGCATTGTGATTAAATTCCTAAAGCATTCTGAAAAACCTGTTCACTTTCATTATAATACTATTATATACATCATATAAACTTCTGGAAGCAAGAAGCACCTTTTCAGCTTTGTTCCCTAAACAAAAATAAGAACAGATAAAAAAAAGATCAAAAATATTTGATTTACCATGAGAACTATCATTTTGTTCCAGGCTTAGATGTGTTGAGCCCTCCAATGCATCCATACAAGCTAACATTCTTTTCAAATTGCTAGCAACATCAACCTTTCACTAAAGTTTGGGTAGATATGAGCAAGATGGTAAAGCTATGCTTATAACTTTTGAGCAACTACACATGCCCTATGATAATTAATGAGAGGAAAATCATGATTAGGGCACTAACAAATTCTCGATGCGAAAATTCCAGCAGGCAAGGAATTGTAACACGAACAATAACTTGTAAATTAACCCCATAACATGTTTCCAGATGTGGAGGGGCTGGTGTTGGACTAAGGTGAACAAAGTCGGATGTCACACGATCGCAGGTTACAGTCCAACAGGTTTATTTGAAATCACAAGCTTTTGGAGTGCAGCTCCTTTGTCAGGTGCAGTGAGAGAGAAGCACACAGAACACAGAGTTTATAGGCAGAGAGATCAAAAAATCACATAACTGCTGTCTTTGGAGTGTCAGATAATAAGTCTCCGCAGGTGACCAAGAGTTTTAGACAGTGAGTAAAGTGTCAACAGCTGAATAACCAGTGAAGGGATGATCTGTAATCCGGTTAAGAGAGATAATTACAAAAAACTTAAAAATAAAGGAGGTGCTGGAGACAAACTAAATGACTAAAAATAACATAATAGGTATAAAAGTCACACGAGGGTCTAACCTCGGTCCGGCCTTCGGGTAAGCGTCCTCCGAGGTGGACTTTGAGACACAGCCACGCAGAATCGCCAAGCAGAGACAGATATCCAAGTTCTGTACCCATGAAGACAGCCTCAACCGTGATCATGGGTTCATGTCATGCTACGTGTGACCCCACCACACTGTTTTGTATCTGTAAAATCTTCCTTATTGTCCTGTTCTGACAGCATCACCTTGCTAAATTATTATGATTTCTCTACCCCAATTAGTTTGTATAGTTTTGAATTATTTATTACTTTGGTTCGACCCTTGGCATGCGACTCTTATACATAACATGTTATTCCAGTCATTTAGTTTCTCTTCAGCACCACCTTATTTTTAATTTTTTGTAATTATCCCTCTGCTTCACTTAAGTGGATTATAGGTCATCCCTTCGCTAGTTATTCAGCTGTTGACACTTTACTGACCGTCTAACACTCTTGGTCACCTGCAGAGATTTATTATCTTATATTCCAATCGCACCAGTTGTATGATCTTTTGATCTCTCTGCCTATAAACTCTGTGTTCTGTGTGCTTCTCTCTCACTGCACCTGACGAAGGAGCTGTGCTACGAAAGCTTGTGATTTCAAATAAACCTCTTGGACTATAACCTGCTGTTGTATGGCTTCTGACTATGTTCCTAGACGATTTCTGTTATAGATGATGCTTATAAAATCCACTTTAATTAAGCCAGTCACAGGCTTGAAGGTGATGCCACAATGTTCGATGATGGAATTTTGGTCCAGGTACAGGGATAGGTGGTTGAAAATAGAGATTGGTTTACCAGACAACAATAACAGCACACTTGTTAAAATTTAATCTAAGAGAATGAAGTGTTACATGTTCAGAGGGAGACAAGTAAGAAGAGAGGGGAATAAAAACAATGAGACAGCAACGTCACACCAGCATGAAGAGTAGCATCTAGAGAAAGTTCCAAGTTGATGGAGAATTCTAAATATGTGTAAAATAATCTGCTATGCAAGTGGGGGGTCCACAATACACACCAAACAGCAATTCAATGAAGGCTGATTTCTCTGCAATTCCTCCAGACGTTAGTGACACAATAGGTCATTAAATTTCATTAAACATCGCAAGGGATTACAATTCCTCACTTTTGCCAATTTAACCTTAAAATGCTCTCTTAAGAGCCACTCTGGCATAAACTGCCTCAATGACTGCTCTCATTCTGATCGATCACTCTCCTTTCCTGGGTCAGTGCTCCCCTGAACTCCGTAAATTGCATGCCAGCACTAACATAGAGGTACAACTCCAACTTTTCATGGATGGCCTGCCTCACAGAACAAGTCCTGCCCCTGGGTTTCTCTTGACCTCCAGTCTTGCTCAATTAGATAAAAAAAATGCTTATGGATTTTTCAACCCCAGCTCAGCTACTGAACCACTGTGTGCAGGCTTCTTTTGAGTCCTTCTAATGCATTAGGACTTATGTTAAACCATCAATAATAAGAGCTATTCCACTGCTTTAGGACTTCCATGACCTCCAACTACACAAAGCCTAGTTCCCTTTAACAGTATATTTAATAGCAGTACTGCCTCACATCATCTGCGTCTCTCTCTCTCTCAACACACACATACTCACTGACTTCAGGTTAATTGTCAATTACCTTTGAATGCCTACAGGTCTGGGAAAAAGAATTGAAGACTAATTATTCTCAATCTGCTTCAATTATCATACAAGGACCAACTCAGATCTTTCGGTTGCGTTAGTGGATAATTATACAGAGACCTACAAATACTCAGCAAAAATTGTTGATTCACTGGCATCAAAACTTGGAAGCTTTTCAGAGACTAATTAAATAGAGAAACCACATGAAAAGAAACAGCAGTTAAACAGTGAACTTCAAATATACAATACAGTGAGATGTTTAAAATATTTACTGTGCACTTTAGTACTTAAGATTTGAAATGCAATATGAATTGTGCAAAGATACAGCAAGTACTTAATGAATGGTTAAAAACAACAATTATTTTTATTTAGCTACCAAATTTTTATAAAATCCTAATGCAAAGGATACTGAGGACATTTGTTTAACTTCGATGTATGACTGGTGACAATCTAAATTCAAAATTACTTACTGCTTCTTCAAGAAGTCTACTACCAATTTAAAGTCCGCTATGCAGTACTCTCTCTTCATGTCCATAAGAACGCTATCTGATCCAGTCTGAACTGGCACATGAAGGAAGGAATAAACCCTTGGATGAAGAAGAATTTTTGCCATTTCCTGCAGGGGAAAAAAGTGAACTCCAGCTGTAATAGATCAATTGTGTAGTTTCTCTTAAAATGCACAAAATACCATGCAATTCACTTATACAGCCTACAGAAAGGAGGTCAGAAATCACACACACCAAGTTATAGTCGAACAGGTTTACTTGAAACTACAAGCTGTCAGAGACTCAGTCCTTCTTCAGGTGTTAGTGAGAGAGGTAGTATCAGACACAGATTTTACAAGTAAAAGATCAAAAGGTTCACACCACTGATGAGGATGTACTAAACAAAACTAAGATGCTGTTACATCTTTAATCAGTTAAAAGGTTTTAATTGATTAATATGTATATGTAAATCCAAAAATTACTTTCAAGTCAGGGTCCTGAGAGAACGAAAGGTTTTATCAGTGTAAAGAAGAGGTGACATTTTAGATCAGACAATGCATATTAGGGGTGAGACCTTGCTTAGAGTTTTTTTGTGTTTTGGTTTGGAGTCAGGCTGGTTTCATTTCTAAAGTGGGAATTTATAAAACTCCATATTGACTATCTATAAATTCTGTTTTTTGAACAAAATATTCTGCAAATACATATTCACCCCGTAGATTCACGTGTGTGTGTGTGTGTGTGTGTGTGTGTGTGTGTGTGTGTGCGCGCGCGCGCGCGCGGGCGGGGGGGTGTCCCTTCGTATCAGGCAATGGGATGGCATCACCACAACAGCCTCAGTATTCAATACCACCAACTGCCAATTTCCAGATGCCACCCTACAACTCATCCGCTTCATCCTCAACCACAACATCTTCACCTTTGACAACCAGTTCTTCAACCATGCACATCGAACAGCCATGGGGACCAGATTTGCTCCCCAATATACCAACATTTTCATGCACAGATTCAAACAGGACTTCTTTGTTGCTCAGAACCTCCAACCAACGCTATACACCAGATACACTGACCACATTTTCTTCGTTTGGACTCATGGTGAGGAATCACTGAAACAACAACATAACGATATCAACAAGTTTCATCCCACCATCAGACTTACCATGGACTACTCTTTAGAATCAGTCTCTTTCTTGGACACACGGACACCTCAGTACATCACTCTACTGCAAGCCTACGGATAACCTCACAATGCTGCACTTCTCTAGCTTCCACTGGAAATATATTAAAACAACCAACTCTACGGATAAGCCCAATGCATACACAGATTCTGTTCCGATGAGGAAGAATGAGACAGACACCTGGAGGTGTTGAAGCACACCCTCATAGGAATAAGATACAATGCTCAATTCATCGATCGCCAGTTCCAATGTGCGACAGTGATAAACCGTAATGTCCTCCTCAAAAGACAGACACGGATACATCTGATAGGGTGTCCTTCATTGTCCAGTACTTCCCTGGAACAAGGAAACTATGCCATGCTCTTTGCAGCCTTCAACATGTTATTGATGACAATGAGCACCTTGCCAAGATCTTCCCCCCCAGACCATTGTTCGCAGCAAACTACCCAGCCTTCAGGGTATCGACCACAACACTATACAACCCTATCATGGTAACCTCTGCCAGACATGTCAGATCAACGACATGGACACTATCATCACAGGTGGGAACACCACCCACCATGTGCATGGCAGATACTCATGTGACTCGGCCAATGTTGTCTATCTCATACACAAAAACAAAGTTGCAGAGTGGTGTCTATCTCATAACTGCAGGCAAGGATGCCCCGAGGCATAGGACATTGGTGAAACCATGCAGACGCTACCAACAATGGATGAATGGACACCACGCAATAATCACCAGTCAGGAATGTTCCTCCCAGTGGGGGAACACTTTAGCGCTCATGGGCATGCAGCCTCGGATCTTCAGGTAAAAGTCCTCCAAGTCGGACTTGTGTAAAGTCGGACTTTACACAACTACGCAGAATCGCTGAGCAGAGGTGATAGCCAAGTTTAGTACCCATGAGGACAGCCTCAACCGGGATATTGGGTTCATGTCGCACTACAGGTGACCCCACCACACTGTACACTCTCACACACGCATACATGAACACACTGTCTCTCCCAACTCCCAAACACACGCACACACACACATAAACACACACGCACACGCAAGCATACAAATCTATGGGGTGAATTTGTATTTGCAGGTACATTTTATATTGTTCAAAAAGCATACAATATAAAGACAGTCGTCAATATGGTGTTTTATAAATTCCTACTTTTGAAATAAAACCAGTCTGATTCCAAACTAAAACACAAACAGATTCTAAACATGGTCTCACACCTAATATGTATTGTCTGACCTAAAATGTTACCTCTTCTTTGCATTGATAAAACCTATAGTTCTCTCAGGACTGTGACTTGAAAGGAATGTGGGGATTTACATATTTACTTTGATATTTTACTTATAAAAATTCTGTGTCTGATACTACCTCTCTCATTAACACCTGAAGGAATGTGACTCTGAAAGCTTGTGGTTTCAAATAAACCTGTTGGACTATAACCTGGTGTCGTGTGATTTCTGACCTTGTCCACTCCAGTCCAACACTAGCACCTCCACATTATAGAAAGAAGGACATTCAGTAACAATGACTTTCAAATTTCACATTACATGGGGTTGTGATAAATAAAGGCATGACTAACTATTTTGCTTATCAGAAGCAAATACCTTAAACAACTGCAACTCCCAGTCGCGAACCATTTCAACTCCCCCTCCCATTCCTCAGACAACATGTCCATCCTGGGCCTCCTGCAGTGCCACAACGATGCCACCCGAAGGTTGCAGGAACAGCACCTCATATTCCGCTTGGGAACCCTGCAGCCCAATGGTATCAATGTGGATTTCACAAGTTTCAAAATCTCCCCTCCTCCTACCGCATGCCAAAACCAGTCCAGCTCGTCCCCGCCTCCTAACCTGTTCTTCCTCCCATCTATCCCCTCCTCCCACCTCAAGCCGCACCCCCATCTCCTACCTACTAACCTCATCCCACCCCTTTGACCTGTCCGTCCTCCCTGGACTGACCTATCCCCTCCCTAACTCCCCATCTACACTCACCTTTACTGGCTCCATCCCCGCCTCTTCGACCTGTCTGTTTCCCCTCCACCTATCCTCTCCTCTATCCATCTTCTATCTGCCTCCCCCTCTCTCCCTATTTATTTCAGAACCCTCTTCCCCTCCCCCATTTCTGATGAAGGGTCTAGGCCCGAAATGTCAGCCTTTCTGCTCCTACGATGCTGCTTGGCCTGCTGTGTTCATCCAGCTCTGCACCTTGTTGTCCAGAATTCATTCAAAACAGCAATTTCCTTGTCAACATTATTCTGAACTGTATTACTTGAGAACACTTCTTAATACACTTAATTCGGCGCCCCCTCAAACCCATGGCTTCAAATGCAATCATAGCAGATAGCAGACATAAGCCACTCAGCCCCTTGAGCCTCCGCCATGCAAGATCCACGTTCAATCTACGTGTTTTAAATTCCATATACCCATCTACTGCTGATAAACTTTGATTTACTTTCCCAACGAAATTCTACTCTGATTTAAAAGCTATTCAATTACCACTGCCTCCGTCACCATCTGCGAGGAGAGTTGCAAAGTCTAACAACCCTCAGAGAGGAAAGAATCCTCAACACAGCCCTGAAAGGGTAACCCATAATTTTTAAAACAGACTCCCCTGCACCTTGTTGGGGGCTCACCCACAACAGGAAACATTGATACCACGTACACCTGGTCAATACTACAGTTTGTTGTCTTATATACTTCAACCAAGCCATCCCTTACTTTCGAAACTCCAGTGAAAACAAGCCCAGACTGCCAATCATAAGCCAACCTGTTCATTCCAGATAAAGTTCCTGTCACCATACTTTTAAATCCTTTAGTAAGGAAGCCAAAGCTGTAGAAGTATTCAAGATGTAGTGTCATCAATGCCCTGTATAACTGAGGCACAGCATTCTTACTTTTATGTTCAATTCTTCTCACAAAAATGAATAGCATTCCATTAGCATTTTAAATATTTGCAGCACCTGCATACTAACTTTTTGTGAATCATACACCAAAAAATCTAGATTCCTCTGCCCTTGGAATTCTGCAGTCACTATTCATTCAAGTAATAATCCGCTTCTTTATTCCTCCTGCCAAAGTGACCAACTGCGCATTTTCCTAACTATACTCTACTGTCTACTCACTCAACCAATCTATTTTGATATGCACCTCCTAAAAATTTAACTTATCTCTGCGTCAACTGCAAATGTGGCTACCATACATTTGATCACTGCATCTAAGTCACTGATGCAAATTGAAAAAGTTGAGGCCCCACACAGTTCTGGGACCCCAATCATTACAGCTTGCCAATCAATAAAAGACCCATTTATGCATACACTGCTTTTGTCCAGGCTGCCAAATCTCCTACCAATGCTAGTATTTTTTCTTCTTTCTTCATTCACGGGATGAGACCGCCGCTGACTAGGCCAGCATTTATTGCTCATCCCTAATGGCCCAGATGGCAGTTTTGAATCAACCACATTGCTGTGGGTCTGGAGTCACACGTAGGCCAGACCAGGTAAGGATGGTAATTTCCTTCCCTAATGGACATTAGTGAACCTGATGGGTTTTTCTGACAATCGGCAATGGATTCATGGTCATCATTAGACTCTTAATTCCAGATATTTATTGAATTCAAACTCTACCATCTGACATGGTAGGATTCGAACCTGGGTCCCCAGAACATTACCTGGGTCTCTGGATTACCAGTCCAGTGATAATGCCATGAGGCTATTGCCTCCCCTCAAAGTATGTTACCCCTGCACCAACTGTTATATTCTTGTTATCACGTTTTATATGGCACTTTGTCAAGTGCCTTTTGGAATCCAAGTACATTACATCAACAGGTTCCTTTTTATCTACAACATGTACTCCTTCAAAGAACTTAAGAAAAGGTTAAGCACAATTTCCTTTTCACAAAACCATTTTCCAATTGTCTTGAAGCCTCTTAAGTGTCCAGCTGTAACCTTCTCTT